CACACACACACACACACACACACACACACACACACACACACGTTCCATCATATTACTCTCCTAGCCTATTGTAGACTTACTGTTGATGAGGACGATAGTCAACATAGTGACACTGAAGAAGACAATGGGTTCCAGAGAGACTTTCACCAGGATAGACGTGAGGAGGAAGAGAATGAAGATAGCAGCAAGACATCCGCTGATCCGGACCACTTCTGGGATCCTAATTTCCCGGAGAGAGGACAGTGTTACTTTACAACCCGCTCCCAAGATCCCAATCAACTCCAGCCACACACCAGCAGAAACCAGCCCACCCTGATCATTCCAATTTACTCAACCCTAGCCATTTCCCCTGAGCCGGAATACTGCAAGATTCTCAGTCCATATTCAATTGTGCTAAAGTTAGGGAAGGGATCAAACAGGAAATTACAGACACCAGCAATAAAGGTACAGCTGTAATTATTGACATCTTTAACCGCGTATAGATTGGACAAATCAAATCAGTAACAACACCTTACAGGATAAATTTCTAGAGTGTTTTTGAGATGGTGTTCGGGATCAATACATTGAGGATCCAACTAGAAAACCATTCTAGACTGGGTAGTGTGTAATGGGAAAGGAATAATTGGAAATCGAGCTGTGTGAAACCTTTTGGGGAAGAGTGACCGTAATATGATAGAATTTTGGAATGTTGCATTTTGGCAAGTCAAATCCAGGTAGGAGTTTCATGGTGAATGGTAGGGTCTTAAGGAGTGTAGTGGAACAGAAGGACCTTGGAGTTCAGGTGCATGGTTCTCTGAAAGTGCAGTCACAGTAGACAGGGCAGTGAGAAGGGCGTTAGGCACACTGGCCTTCATCATTCAGAGCATTGAGTATAGAAGTTGGGAAGTTATGATGCAGTTGTACAGGATGTTGATGAGGCTGCACTTGGAGTATTGTGTTCAGTTTTGGTCACCTTGCTAAATGAAGGATATTTTTAAACTGGAAAGAGTGCAGAAGAAATTTACAAGGATGTTGCCAGGACTCAAGAGACTCAGTTATAGCGAGAGGTTGGACAATCTGGGACTTTTTTCTTTAGAGTGTAGGAGACTGAGGGGGGATCTTATAGAAATGTACAAGATCATGAGAGGCATGGATAGGGTGAATGCACTCAGTCCAGACCATCACAGAAGTCAACCTTCTATCCATGGGCTCTATTTACGTGGCTCGCTACCAAAGAAAGGCTGCCAACATCATCAAAGACCCATCCCACCCCAGTAATGATCTCCTACTACCTCTTCCATCAGGCTGAAGATACAGAAACCTAAACACAAACACCAACATTCTTTCTGGCTGTTATCAGACTGCTGAATGGACTCCAGCCTCAAATAATGAAACCTGCAACGTAACCTGTATGCCTCTAAGTATTTATGATCTGTACATCTTTTTATTGCTGTGATCTGCCTGTACCGCTTTTCACTGTATTTCAGTACATGTGACAATAAAATCAAAATCAAAATCAAAACCAAAGATCAAGGAGTAGAGGGTATCAGTTAAAGTTAGAGGGGACAGAATACCTGGGAACCTGAGGGGTAACTTTTTTACACAGAGGGTGGTTTGCATTTGGAATGAGCTGCCAGCGGATGTGGTTGAGGTGCGTACATTAACAGCATTTAAAAGGCATTTGGACAAATACATGGATGGGAAAGGTTTAAAAGGATATGGGCCAAGTGTAGGGATATGGGGTTAGCGTGGATGGACATTTTGTTTGGCACTGACCTGCTGGGGCCGAAGGGCCTGTCTCTGTGCTGTCTTCATCAAGACAGAGAATCTTCTTCATAAAGACAGAGAGGGACCTGAATCTAATAGAGTGACAATGGTATGAGCTGGCTATCATAGATTGGGGGCGGGGGTCATTACCTAAAGGGATGACAGTGAATAGGTATTGACAAACATTTAAAGAACACGTGGAGGAAGTGCAATGATTGTTCACTCCTAAAATAAAACAAAGGGCTGCAAATTTTGTAAATTGGAAACAAAAACGGAACTAGCTGGAGATACTCAGCAGGTGGAGAGAGAAAGAGAAGTTAACATTTTGAGTCCAGTGACCCTTCTTCAGAAATTCTCTAGCAATTTCCATTTGTGTTTTAATTGTTCATTCCTATCAAAAATAAAAAAAAGGACCATGGCTAAGAAGGGAAATTACAGATAGTATTATATCGAAAGATAGGAATGGGCATACAAATTAGCCAAAAACAAAAAAACAGATCTGGGGATTGGAAACTGTTTAGATTTCGGCAAAGCAGAACAAAGGAATTGGGCACGAGCATAAATAGAGTATGAGAGTGAGCCTGCAGGGAACATGCAAACTTACCGTAAACATTTCTATCCGTATGTGAAGAGAAAACGATTAATGAGGACAAATATAGAGCCTTTACAATCAGACAGGGTCAATGCAGAAAGAATGTTCCTGATGATGGGATTTTCCAGAGCCAGGGATAACAATCTGAGGATGCGGGGTAAACCATTTAGGACTGAGATTAGGAGAAATGTCTTCACCCAGAGAGTACGGAGCCTCTGGAATTCACTACCGCAACAAGCAGTGGAGTCCTAAACACTGTGTGCTTTCACGGGGTTGGATGTAGCGCTTGGGGCTAAACGGTTCAAAGTTTTTGGGGGAGAAACAGGAACAGGGATTGAATTAGATGATCAGCCATGGAACAGGCTGGAAAGGCCAAATAGCCTGCTCCTGCTCCAATTTTCTATACTTCTGTTTTGTTAGAAAAAGGGCAATTTGAAATGGGGAACAAAGAGATGGCAGATCAATTTATACATACTTCAGTTCTGTCTTCACAGAGGACACAAGTGACATCCCAGGAACGTTGGGGATTACGGGGTTTAGTGAGAGGGAGGAACTGAAGGAAATCAGTATTAGCAGGGAAATGGTGTTGAGAAAATTGATGGGATTGAAGGCTGATAAAATTCCCAGACCCTGATAATCTACATCCCAGAATACTTCAGGATGTGGCTCTGGAAATAGTAGATTGTCTTCCATGATTCTGTAGCGTCTGGCACAGTTGTCACAGATTGGAGGTTAGCTAATACAACCCCACTGTTCAGAAAGGGAAACAGTGAGAAAACTGGGGAATTATAAACCCATGAGTCTGACATTATTCGTGTGGAAAATACTAGAGTTCATTATAAAAGATTTAATAGCACTTGGAAAACAGTGACAGGATTGCACAGCATGGATTTATGGAAGGGAAATTATCCTTGACAAAATTATCCTTGCAGAAATTCATAGAGTTGATGAAGGGGAACCAGTGGATGTGGTTTACTTGAACTTTCAGAAGGTTTTCAATAAGGTCCCACACGTGAGATTAATGTATAAAATTAAAATGCATGGGATTGGGGGCAATGTGTTGAAATGGATAGAAAACTGGTTGGCAGACAGGAAACAAGGAGTAGGAATAAACGGGTCTTTTTCCGAGAGGCAGGCAGTGACTGGTGGGGTACCACAGGGATCAGTACTTAGGCCCCAGCTATTCATAATATATATTAATGGAGGTCATGGTCTAAGGTTATGGGGTAGGCCATTTCAGCCTGAGATGAGGAGAAATATCTTCATCCAGAGAGCGGGGGGCCTGTGGAATTCTCTGCTGCAGGAAGTGGTTGAGGCCAAAATGTTTTCAAGAAGGAGTTAGATATAGTTCTCAGGGCTAAGGGGATCAAAGTGTATTGGGGGAAAGGGGGAAGAAGGGACTGAGTTGGATGATCAATCATGAATAGGAAAGCAGGTTCGCAGGGCCGAATGGCCTACTCTTGCCCCTAGTTTCTGTTGTATGTTTCAGTTCATCAACATGGTCACCCAGGTGTAACGCTGACCGTGTTCCGGTCACTTTGTAAATACAGCTAGCCTACAGCGTGTATTCATTTGGAGGCCAATCAGCACGACATACCGCTGGAGCAAGATAGAGTTGAGGCAGCTGAAGATCAGCAACGGCAACATGGCACACAGGGTCATCATATTCCCAAACTTCCCCTGCAGGTAGTTTTCCCGGACCCCATCGGTTCCATCAACTTCATCTGTTCCATTCAGATGTAAACGGTCCGTGGTAACATTCACATCTCGCAGCTGGTACTTAAAATACTAACACGGGGAAAGAATGAAGGAGAAAGTGAACATCGGAGACAGGAGAGAGAGAGAGAGAGAAAGAGAGAGTCAGAGACAAGCTGGGAAAGAAATAGCCTCAGGGTCACGGTCAGGGAGGGTCAGGGTCAGTATGGGTCAGGGTCAGAGAGGGTTAGAGAAGGTCAGGGTCAGAGTGGGTCAGGGTCAGACAGGGTCACGGTCAGTATGGGTCAGAGTCAGTATGGGTCAGGGTCAGTATGGGTCAGGGTCAGACAGGGTTAGAGAGGGCCAGGGTCAGAGAGGGTTAGAGAGGGCCAGGGTCAGAGAGGGCCAGGGTCAGAGAGGGTTAGAGAGGGCCAGGGTCAGAGAGGGTTACAGAGGGTCACGGTTACAGAAGTTCAGAGTCAGAGATGGTCAGGTTTAGAAAGGGTCAGTATGGGTCAGGATCAGAGAGGGTCGGGGTCAGAAGGGTCAGAGTCAGAGTCGGTCAGGGTCAGGGTCAGGGTCAGGTTTAGGGTCAGAGTCAGTGTTAGGGAGTAGGATGAAGATCAGAGTTATGGTGTGGATTATTGGTTTCAGTGTTAGGGTGTAGGGTTAAGGGTTGGGGTTTACAGGCAGCTTGTTGAGAACGAGTTTGAAAGTAGAGCTGAACCTCATACCCCAATCGCTGTCATGAAGAAATTCCAGGGTAACAGGGTCCCAAGTCCCAGGGCGAAGAAGATCATCCAGACGATCTTGAACCTTATCCAGGAAGAGAGAGAGGTCAGAGCTGGTAGACAGGGACCACATCACATCTCCTTTAACTACGCCCTCAGCCTCTTTGCCAGCTGCCACTAGCAACCCTCAGGGGCAGGAAGCAAACGATTTGGGGGTGGGGCATTGGAAGACCAGCTCTCGGGAGGGTAGGGTCAAGGTTCGGGGGGGTGTTAGTGTGGGCAGGTTAGTATGGTGGGGGTTCAGTGTGGAGGGGGTTAGTGAATGGGAGATGGTCTGGGATGGGACGGGGGTCTCAGTGGGGGTATGGGGGTCTCGTTGGGGTGGATTGGGGTCTTGGTGTGGGGATTGGGGTCTTGCTGGGGGGATTGAGTTCTTGCTGGGGGGATGGGATCTCGGTGGGGGAATGG